TTAATCCACCAGTCTGTGTGTGTGTATTATCTCTCTCTCTCTCTCTCTCGTAAATACTACCACTTCACCCTTCTAGAAATCGTGCAGAAAAAGTCTCCCATGAGTCAACACACTACTGGAAAATTGGAGTATAAGCGACCTGATTTTTTTTCCGCCGCGATTTTAACAGCTTGTCATGGACAGACTGGTGCTCTACACGTATTAGTGGTCGACCAGTTCCGCTTGTTGTTCTCTCCTCCCCCTTAAAAAAAAACGAGTTCATACGGTAACAGACTGGAATTTTGTTCTCGCCAAAAATGAGTTAGTGCAGAAGGGTGACATGAATACCTTGCAGTTTCCCTAAAAAACGGCGAGTTAATACGGAAGAACATGATTTTCGTTATGTCCCTGAAAAAAAATCAACCTTGATCCGAATACGGAATGATTTATTTGCTTTTCCTCCATATGAATTTATAAACAAGAGAATAACTAATTTCTTGTTTATTCCTCTAAGAAAAAAAAAAAGATATTACAGAAGGGAACGTACAGTAGATATCTGCAAGTTACCATCTTCAGTGAGTTGTATTAAAGCACATCCTGCACATCATCTCCACTCCGACAGACGTTACACATCCCACATTATGTAAATTACTTGCTGTATGTCCACGAGCACAGTATAAAGAGCTATTTTATTCGTATTATCTGTGTATTAGTTTATGCCACTCCAAAAGTATCGTCTTGTTCTCATATACACAAACCAAGACAACTCTCTTTTGGTTTTGATTATATTTGTGTTGGGGTTATTGTCTTCGGGTCGGATGCACAGCTGGCCGGAACTATAACCGCTGGACGGATGCATAGTCAAACGGATGCACAGCTGGCCGGAACTATAACCGCTGGACGGATGCATAGTCAAACGGATGCACAGCTGGCCGGAACTATAACCGCTGGACGGATGTTTAGTCAAACGGATGCACAGCTGCCGGAACTATAACCGCTGGACGGATGCATAGTCAACGGATGCACAGCTGGCCGGAACTATAACCGCTGGACGGATGTATAGTCAAACGGATGCACAGCTGCCGGAACTATAACCGCTGGACGGATGTATAGTCAAACGGATGCACAGCTGGCCGGAACTATAACCGCTGGACGGATGTATAGTCAACGGATGCACAGCTGGCCGGAACTATAACCGCTGGACGGATGTTTAGTCAAACGGATGCACAGCTGGCCGGAACTATAACCGCGGACGGATGCATAGTCAAACGGATGCACAGCTGGCCGGAACTATAACCGCTGGACGGATGCATAGTCATACGGATGCACAGCTGGCCGGAACTATAACCGCTGGACGGATGTATAGTCAAACCGGATGCACAGCTGGCGGAACTATAACCGCTGGACGGATGTTTAGTCAAACGGATGCACAGCTGGCCGGAACTATAACCGCTGGACGGATGTTTAGTCAAACGGATGCACAGCTGGCCGGAACTATAACCGCTGGACGGATGCATAGTCAAACGGATGCACAGCTGGCCGGAACTATAACCGCTGGACGGATGCATAGTAAATGGATGCACCAGCTGGCCGGAACTATAACCGCTGGACGGATGTTTAGTCAAACGGATGCACAGCTGGCCGGAACTATAACCGCTGGACGGATGTTTAGTCAAATGGATGCACAGCTGGCCGGAACTATAACCGCTGGACGGATGTTTAGTCAAATGGATGCACAGCTGGCCGGAACTATAACCGCTGGACGGATGTTTAGTCAAATGGATGCACAGCTGGCCGGAACTATAACGCTGGACGGATGTATAGTCAAACGGATGCACAGCTGGCCGGAACTATAACCGCTGGACGACGTATAGTCAAACGGATGCACAGCTGGCCGGAACTATAACCGGACGGATGTTTAGGTCAAATGGATGCACAGCTGGCCGGAACTATAACCGCTGGACGGATGTATAGTCAAACGGATGCACAGCTGGCCGGAACTATAACCGCGCGACGGACGTATAGTCAAACGGATGCACAGCTGGCCGGAACTATAACCGCTGGACGGATGCAGTCAAACGGATGCACAGCTGGCCGGAACTATAACCGCTGGACGGATGTTTAGTCAAACGGATGCACAGCTGGCCGGAACTATAACCGCTGGACGGATGTATAGTCAAACGGATGCACAGCTGGCCGAACTATAACCGCTGGACGGATGCATAGTCAAACGGATGCACAGCTGGCCGGAACTATAACCGCTGGACGGATGTATAGTCAAACGGATGCACAGCTGGCCGGAACTATAACCACTGGACGGATGTTTAGTCAAACGGATGCACAGCTGGCCGGAACTATAACCGCTGGACGGATGTATAGTCAAACGGATGCACAGCTGGCCGGAACTATAACCGCTGGACGGATGTTTAGTCAAATGGATGCACAGCTGGCCGGAACTATAACCGCTGGACGGATGTTTAGTCAAATGGATGACAGCTGCCGGAACTATAACCGCTGGACGGATGTATAGTCAACGGATGCACAGCTGCCGGAACTATAACCGCTGGACGGACGTATAGTCAAACGGATGCACAGCTGGCGGAACTATAACCGCTGGACGGATGTTTAGTCAAATGGATGCACAGCTGGCCGGAACTATAACCGCTGGACGGATGTATAGTCAAACGGATGCACAGCTGGCCGGAACTATAACCGCTGGACGGACGTATAGTCAAACGGATGCACAGCTGGCCGGAACTATAACCGCTGGACGGATGCATAGTCAAACGGATGCACAGCTGGCGGAACTATAACCGCTGGACGGATGTTTAGTCAAACGGATGCACAGCTGGCCGGAACTATAACCGCTGGACGGATGTATAGTCAAACGGATGCACAGCTGGCCGGAACTATAACCGCTGGACGGATGCATAGTCAAACGGATGCACAGCTGGCCGGAACTATAACCGCTGGACGGATGTATAGTCAAACGGATGCACAGCTGGCCGGAACTATAACCACTGACGGATGTTTAGTCAAACGGATGCACAGCTGGCCGGAACTATAACCGCTGGACGGATGTATAGTCAAACGGATGCACAGCTGGCCGGAACTATAACCGCGGACGGATGCATAGTCAAACGGATGCACAGCTGGCCGGAACTATAACCGCTGGACGGATGCATAGTCAAATGGATGCACAGCTGGCCGGAACTATAACCGCTGGACGGATGTATAGTCAAACGGATGCACAACTGGCCGGAACTATAACCGCTGGACGGATGTCTGTCAAACGGATGCACAGCTGGCCGGAACTATAACCGCTGGACGGATGTTTAGTCAAACGGATGCACAGCTGGCCGGAACTATAACCGCTGGACGGATGCATAGTCAAACGGATGCACAGCTGGCCGGAACTATAACCGCTGGACGGATGCATAGTCAAACGGATGCACAGCTGGCCGGAACTATAACCGCTGGACGGATGTTTAGTCAAACGGATGCACAGCTGGCCGGAACTATAACCGCTGGACGGATGTTTAGTCAAACGGATGCACAGCTGGCCGGAACTATAACCGCTGGACGGATGTTTAGTCAAACGGATGCATAGCTGGCAGACGAGACAGTGTAAATCAGTACATTACTGAGAACGACGCAGGTGGTATAAAATCATTGGCCAAGACGATCAGTAGTAAACCTTCCCTATTCAGTAAACCAATACATGACACACAGTAAATCACACACAATCACATTATTGCTTCAGAACAACAATCCTGAACAACCTAAGCCAACACAACCATTACTATCAACCATTACACGAGGTGGCCAATCTTCTTAAAGTCCCTTACGTCATTTGTTCTCTCTCTAAATCTGGATTCAAGAACGACTTTATCTCATCATGGCTACAACAAAAACGCTAAGGTAGAATGGCGTCGATATTGTACAGTGACGAAGATGGCTACGTTTTCTTGTTATTGTCAGGAGAAGAATAAATACGCCATTGTGTTTCTGGAGCGTGAGGAATAAACGCAGGCGAGCGTGAGGAGGATATGGGTATTTCCACACACACACACACACACACACACTAAGTGGTAAGACACGTGCGCTGTGTATGACGCCACTACGCCGTGTCAAGTCAGGTGTTCAAGGGCGTTGTGAGGGACGGGGAGTTCTACTTTAAGGGAACGTCAAGGCTATATAGACTGTTGACGCCGCTCATTCACCCTCTCCATCTAGGTCATCAGCCAAATGTTTTGATTTGACCACATGTCAAAGATCCTACCGCACACACTAATAAACCTCCACCACATTTGTTGTCTATATTTTTAATGACATATTTTCACCTTAATGCATAACGCGTCATGAGTAAGACCATAAACAACCTCTCACACATACGCCTGGGGAGCTGGAGATCCACAACCGTAGTTTGTGTGATAGAAAAATCAATTTAAGTCAAGGAGGATGTTGTAAGTGGGTCCTATGTAGGCATGGCGGGCTGTTAAGGGCAGCTTGGATACAGTGAGCCTACACTGAATATTAAGTATGTTTTAATGCACAAAGAGACAGTGAGACCTGCATTGCTCATAACCGACTTCACTTCCCAGCTGTGACGTCCCCATTTACAGTAAGGTGGACTGAGCGTACTCTGGGTGCAAACCAACCACCCTTAGAACAGAAGGCGAGTGCATTATCCACTTGGTCCCCGCACCCTAGATATGGAACAAAATTTGTGTTTAGATCTATCTAAGGCTGAGTCCGTAAATTATAGTCACAAATGTATCCCGTACATAGAGTTAATACTTTATATAACCTTATGGGTCTGTACATGTGTACCGGGAGCACTATCTCCCAACTCAACACAATGGATACAATTGAAAGGAAGGTCTTCAAGGACGCTCGTCGGCAGCGGTCCAGGCTAAAGAGGAGCCTTAGAGATGATGTCCACTGTATCCTTAGCGACCAGCTAACCTCCGCACCCATCCTACCGCCACTCACTCCAGAGAACACCGAGTTTTTCTTACCTTAGCAACGTCGAGCAGGGTGACGAGTTTTACATCCCCCATGGTGAAGGTTGAGGCAGGGTACTAGCACTAGGTGGAAGAGGTGTCCTTCTCTCTGCTCACTAGTATGTGTGAGAGACACTGGGTGATGGTGAGGCTGGCCGATCAAACACTGTGGGTGGGAGAGAGAGAGAGAGATGTTAGAGAGTAGAGAGGCGAGGCGCTTCTCTCTCTCACGCACACTCTTGGCCGCTCTACGGAATTAAGTGTCACAATTCCCCCTTCACCAGTCTTGTGAATGGTGTGCAGATGTACAGTAGAGACCAAACCCAGAGTGGGTCAGAGTGTGGCAGGAGGGTTTTATAGTCTCTGAGGAGCAGTGACTTATAGGCAGAGAAAGTTCAGGGTTCCTAGCCTTTATACGGTAGTGGATGTGAAAGCGATCATCACTAGCACAAAGTATAAATCATTAGAAGCTTGCATGGTAAGGGCGAGCCACTAATCTCTCGCCTCACCTGAGCACTAGAGTCTCCCGCTCTCCGGCTGACACATTGACCCGTCGATATCCCGGCAGCAGCAGCAGCAGTCTTAGCTGCGGTCGATCCCTGGCACAGCGCCCTCTCACAGCCACTAAACAACACCGACTGACTCGCTCCCTCGCTACTCTCAGACTGAGCGCGTGCGGTATCGTTTATCAGTTTTAACCTTTTATAATGTACCTACGGCTGGCGAACGTTCTCGCAGTTCCCACTAGTTTGTTGTGCTGTTGTGTGGAGCGTGAGCACTGCTTATATCCTAGCCGCTCGTGTGACTGGTGGAGTGTCGGGAAATGCCCCACCCCGGACACAGTACTGCGCAGGCGTCCACCACTCTACCCTGCTGCCTCCCTCATGTATACTCTACTACCATATAACTAATCATCTCTGGTAACTAGGATTAGTTGCACTTTCCTCCTCACAGCTACAACTGTACGGCGCTTATGGACAGTCATGCAAACATACTATTCGTCCACTGACCATAATTTTACTACTGTAACATTATATAATAAAAAAATATTTAGACTATTATTATTATATTGAGCAATCACTGAGGACTGCTGTACCCTTCTTGTTGCTAGTGTGTGGACGATGAGGTCAGGGCGGAACGTTAGGAGTGGACTGGGTACGATACCAAGGTTGGAAGTGTACAGCACAGTGCTTCAGTACCGGCCAACATTCTTTACACCATTTACCAACCCCAAAATCAGTATTTACTTAATCAAATATGACATTTCCTAAAAGTAGAACAGAATTTATCATCATCGAAGCATTTAACGTTAAAAATTAGATGTAAAGCTGAATTATTGTATTCGTTGAGGCAAAAGTACTCAGCGGCACTGTTGTTTGTGTGTAGTAAGTGACGTCATCATCCCCCTGACCTTTGATATCCGTAAAGGGCGCCACGCCAGACAGTGCTATGTAACCACCCTGCTAGGGATTAGTTTCGTATATCTAATACCCTAGGATTATTTTGTAGATTTTTTTATACATTTATATCTAAGAAAATTGTACTTAGTAGGAAATTTACACAACTTTAACAGATTATATGGAATATGAATTCTTTTAAGTTATAAATATTTGTATTTCAGGTGACGGGTCGACAGCAAAGGAATTGTGGGTGAAAATATTTGAGGCAGATTAAGGTTGGTTTACACTCCTCGTGTTGCGTGACAGTTTACATGATGCCAGTCTCCGCTGTTTGCTGCCTGCCTTACACGTCACAGCATTCGTGTTCACTATCTATATATTATCATGAAATTAACCTAACATTAAATTTCCCATATTTCATAATTAACTAACCTGAAATTTCACCAGTGTACAGTACATAGATAGATTCATTGAGAAGAGTAAATATTGCCACCAGTTTTATGTTGATCATATGCCTGACACAACCAACCTGTGACGTACAGTTGTGAAACGTTGGCTTGTTGTGTTTGGTGCTCTACCGCCAGGGTCATGAAACAGCTGGCACATTGTTAGTATCTTACAATAACCAACATTTACAAATACGATACAATCAAACCTTGAGAGTTGGATAAGAGGGTAATGGTGCAGGTTACTGTGTCGCGCTAAACTATATCCTTGGCAACAGGCTGACACAAGTAAAAGAGGACTCACTGCGTGTTTTACGATTAATTAAAGAAAAAAATGAACCTTTGGTATCTTAGTCAACGTTAGGAAAATATATGTCATGGTAATGGTTTGCACTGGAAACTGTATCATCATTTGTTTCACTTCCAAGAAATCGCTACCTCAGCAAAACAAACGATAACACTAGAACTGCCATGAAGCGAGGAGTTACACAACATATTAATAAAATACTCAAAAACTGTTTTGTAACAAGACACAAATTGATAGTTTCTTATTTGTTAAAGAACTTAGGTGAATTGTTATGTTGAAGTTGATATAAAATATGAGCAGGCAGCGAGGACAGTTACCAGAGGCTGTACTTCTTCTTAGTGAGGTTACTGAGGTCTTCATCCACAGTGCAGTGGCGGCATGCGGATGTGCTGGAGGGTGAGGATACACCCCTCCCTCTCTTTTGATATTCCTCCCACCCCCACCCCACACTCTTGACAACCCTCCCACCTTCACCTATCCTTTTGACATCCCTCCCTCCCTCCTGACGTCCCTCCCACCCTCATCCATCCTTCTGACATCCCTCCCACCTTCACCCGCGTTCTTGACAACCCTCCCACACACCCCCTGATGTCCCTCACTCACATTCCTGACGTCTTTCCCACCCTCCTGGCGTCATTTTCTCTTACCTAAAAGATTCATATGACACCAGTACACCGTGAGCTCCCCTCATGAACCCTACCCGGCAGTGGCCAGCAAGCCGCGCCAGATTGATGATGATGATGATGATGATGATGCAGCGGATCTGTAATCGGATTACTAAGCACGAACGCTCACGTGGTCACCGCGGGATAAGGCTTCTCTGCCGCTGCTGACTTTCAAAGCACAACACTAGAGGGGAAACTGGCTGCAGATCCACAAAGATCCTGGGGTCCAGATTCTTAAATGTTCCTTTGTTAGATCTTCCTCGTAAAAGCAGTTGAAGGGACTTAACTAATCTACTTAAACTAAAACAAATGGAACGCCCAAAAGGTTAAACACTTACACTAAAATTTTTACCTTAACGTGATACTCATTGTACCGTACAATAATTAATAAGACCAGATTAACTTGTATAATCTTTATGAATCCTGACCGTGAAAGTTAATTTGTGAGTTTTGATGTAAGTTTGATCCGTTTTTGGACATAAAACTTGTACTTGGATGATAGAGAGTGGTAGTAACTCTCGACAGTAGCTGCCATGCACAGGCCAACCGGCCTATTGCAGACTCCTTATTTTCTTATGTTCTTATGTACTTTATCTTAAATCACCACATTAGATGCGTTCTTACTTAACCATGTACGAGGAAAATTCGACTTGCGATCCCATGAGAATCTAAAGGACATCATTTTGTGGTGTTGGCGTTGATTAATATAAAGATCCCATAGACCTTCAAGTTATTTGAAAAGAAGTTGTCATAAAGAAACTTGAGGGGCTGTTTTTTTATCGTTTGGGGAAACACCTGGCTGGATTTTGTTTAAGGGAGTGTTGGGGGAATTTTATGTTGGAAATTGTTTTGTTAGAGTTTGTCTTCGTGAATCTTTGGTTGGAGTTTGCTGTGGGGAAATGTTTGGCAAGGCCTTGTGAATTGAGAAATGTTGAGTTGCATTTTCTCGTGGGGAAACGTTTGGTGGGATAATTTCCATTGGGAAATCGTTAGTGGGATTTTCTGTGGTAGGATGTTGTTAACAGCGGTGAACGGAAGCTTCCAAGTGACCTTAACTGACAAACATTATGTAGTAACTCGCTGAATGAACGTTTAGGAGACAACACAAAGAAAGTATTAAAAATAATAACATTTTGGTCGTCTACAGTGACTCTATACACTATACAGAAGTACAAATCGTGTGCCTAAAGTACTCTTGGATGTGGTTTACGTGGAGAGAAACACGAGCGTGAAACAGTCGGATCCTCAGTGTGTTGTAACGTCATTGGCCAACCCGATTTTAGTACCTATTATTTTCATACAATCGGATGAAAATTCGAACATGCTGAACCTAATCGCCCTAAACACACACTTATATCACCTAAATAAGTAAGAAATAAGTAACAACGTAAGTAAATGTGAGATATAAGTGCCACAGGAAGCGAAGACTTCCAACCAGCGTAATGGATCTAGTAAAACTGTAAACTATTTACACCTTTACCGCACGGAAGCTTTCCTTGGGGGCAAGATAGGGGTATTCAACCAGCCTTGTACTGAGTTCTATTACCACATAATTCTGTATTTTTTAGACCGAATCAAAGTCATGGGAGCATTACTTGGCATATATCTCGTGTGAATAATATGCCACATTCTTTTGGCGGTAACGAAGCTGTCGGGCGTTACGAGGTTCTTTGTGACGGGGCTACGTGGTGTGACAAAGCTGCTAGATGTGTCGAAGCTAACTAGATGGAGCCAGTAAGTGTGACCAGGCATCATTCTTGACGTGTGTTATATATTCAACACCCGCGACAAATGTGTACTTGTGAGTGCGGATGAGTTAAGTGCATGTCGGTGGTAGTTGTGTTCTTATATTTATATGAGATCCGAGAGAGTTTTCACCTGATCTGACGACCCAAAAACATTGTTAATTGTATGGCTGACACCTAATTGCCTGTATGGCTTCCTGGTTCAGAGTGAATCCTCAGCTTTCAAGAGATTTCTCCTGAGTGTTACTTCGTAGAGATGAATGTGTGTCGGGATTGAACATCAGGATGTTCTGTAGATACGTCTATCTCTACCACAGAGACAAGCTCATTAGAGTCAAGCTTTCTCTCCCCAGTGAAAGCAAACAGGGGGTAAAACTCACCACTATCAATTTAGGATGCGATATTCAGGTTGAAAATTATAAATTCTCGCTTAGAATTTAACGTGATGCTAT